TGTCACTAGGACCCTGGGCCTTAGCTGCCCACCTAGCTGGGCCTTGCCTTCCCTGTGGCTGTGTTCCCAGGCATCAAGTGTGACTACGACCCTTGGTGCAGTTTTCATAGCTTCCCAGAGCAGGAGGGGTCTCCTTGCTGGCACAGAGTTCTGGCTAAATCCAGGCCTTTGCCCTTGCCCATGAGGATGTTCTCAGGGGCAGACAATTCTCCCAGGGACAGAGCAGGATGGGGAAACAGCCCACAAGCCCTGGGCTCCTCACCTCATTTCCAGACTGAGAACACTGGCTCTGAGGCAGCAGGGTCCCACTCCCTTCCTCAGGGCTGTGGTGGTGTGTAGGCCCAGGAGAGGACGTACCCGAGCCAGCACTGGCCTGATACGTTTACAGTTCACTCTCCCACCCCTACCCTCATTCTTCTCTCAGCCCCCAACTCCCTCACCTGCCCAGGATCCAGGTTCTGGGGCCAACTCCTTCTTTGCAACCATGAAACTCACTTGTGGGTGCCTAAGGGACTCACCTTGTTCAATCCTCACTAAAGTGATGTGAGGTAGCTACACTTTTCCCTCCATGTTCCAGAGAAAGAAACTGGAGCTCAGGGAGGTGGTCACTTGCTCCAAACCACTGAGCAGCAGGCAATGGAGCTGAGATGTGCATTCAGGTCACCCCTTTTGCCTCAATCTCTTCTCCATCAGTCTAGCCACACAGGTGAGACAGGAGGTGACAGTCCTGCTGCAGCCCTCCAGGGATGTGCGGAGAGGGCCGGCCAAGGGCCTCGCTCCCTGGCAAAGTTTTGCCCACAGGCATCAGACAAAGGTCTACCTCTGTGCTGAGAAAACTCAATGAGATGGAGAGGACCAGGCCTCAGAGGCACACAGTTGGCTCACCTTGGCCTATCAGTGGAAATGACCTTGCACAAGAGGAACTTACATTCAGGGTCTGAAGATGTAGGCAGGCCCTGGAGGAAATGCCCAGTACATTCCCCTTTCTCTATACCCCTCACACCTCCAGGAGGCTTCTCAGGACACTCAGAGGGTCTTTAGGTGTAGGTCAAAGACTTCTTAAACAACACCCAGGCCTGCCTCTCCACAGAAACAAACAACCCAGGACTTCAAGGGCTTCAGAACAACAATCCTCAGAGGCCCTAACTACTGTTTTCAGCTTGTCTCCTTTTTTTTTTTTTTTTGGTACTGGGGATGGAACTCGGGTCCTTGCACTTGCGCAGCAGGCTGCGAAACCACTGAGCTAAATCCTGGGGCCTGTTTTCAGCTTGTCAAGAGGTGTTTTAGTTACCCGTCTCGGTCTTCACACAGCTGGAGTGGAACTCCCTGTCCAGTCAGCTGGAATCTTCCAGACAGGGCCACTTTGTCATACTAGACAATGAAAGCCTCATGGCTCCTAGGGGTTCATCCAGATGCTCCCCTACCCCTTTGTGGCCTGGTTCTTTACAAGTCATCACATGCCTGTGATATAGGCCCCAAGGCTGTTTTATGCTTGAGGACACTGAGGGTCCGAAAGGGTAACACTTGCCAAGGGTCACCTCGCTGGGTGGTGATAGGGCCACAGCCCAAACCACATCTGTCTGTAGCAGGGACAGGGCCCCACTAGTCCCACCCAGACGGTGGGTGGACGTCCAGCACTGAGCTCTGGGACTCGATAGTGGCCCAGCCTGCCCTGAGAGGAGGCCTGGGCCTCATCAGCTCATTTTGAGAGGGAGGCAGTAAGGGTGGGTTGGAGGTAAGTGCGCTTATGAAGCCCTGACCAGGAGTACAGCAGCTCTCAGGGCTTTCAGGGGAGTGGGGTGACTTGGTCTGTTTCCCCAACGCTCCTGCCGCTCTTGCTGAGAGGGCACCCGACCTCCAGAGCGGAAACCAAGAGGGGCCTTAAAAGTCTAGCAGCTGTCAGTTTAGGTGAGGGCCGTACCCAAAGAGCCCGTACGGAAAGTGCGGCTCGAAGGCTTTGTGCACAGAATTCCCACCCTAAGGGCAGACGGAGAACAAGGGGCTACGAGTGTTTCCGCCGCGGCCAGCTGCAGTCAGGACCCGGGGCGGGGGGGCGCTCGCTCGGGGCAGCTCCAAACTCCCGCAGACCAAGCTGGGAAACACACCTCCGCCCGCCCCCGGCGTCAGAGCGCTCCGCAGAGAATCGGGACACGAAGCTCCCGGGTCAATCGCTGAAGCTGCTGAAAAGCTGCCCAGTCCTCTGGCTCCGGAGCCCCGGCGACACCCCCACGAGCCGCGCCTAGGACGGTACGGGAGCTGCACCCCGGCACTTCCACCGTCCGCCGGCCTTGCGGGAGACGCCCCCCCCGGCGCTCGGCCCACCCCGGCTCACCCACCGTGCACCAGTTTCCGCATGTCCTGGTAACGAGCCCACAAGTGCGCGCTGAGGTCGGCGCCGCCAGCGGGCGCCGGGGAGGGCGCGGAGCGTGGGGTACCCGGGCAGGGGGCGCCAGGACCCGGCGGGCCGCAGCCAGGGCAGGAGGGTGCGGACGAGGCGGCCCGCGGCCCGCCGTGGCCTCCGCACAGCAGCCAGCGCCGAGCGGACGCCCGCAGCCCCGTACCAGCCATGGCCCCCGTGTGCCCCCTCTACCCTCTACCCTCAGCCCGTCCGCCAGCCCGCCTCTCTCCGACTGCGCGCCCGCCACCGTGGCCGCGTGCTCCTCGCGGCGGCGAGCCAATGGGCGCGGCGCGCGGACCTGGCCAGCCAATGGGCGTGCCCCCAGCCCGGAGGGGGGACGGACGGCCCGGGGCGGGGCGGGCTCCCTCTCCCCACCCCCCACCCCACCCCTCCCCCTCCCCCAGTCCCCGGCGCGGCTGAGGGCTCGCCCCCCCCCCCTTTGGCCGTCGCCGCGGTGATGGCGGCTCCTTCTTAGTTCGAGAACCCGAGACTGGCCGTCCCCGCGAGGCTCCAGACGGCAGGGGCAGAGAGGAGGGGGCTGGAGCGCGCGGGTTCACGCGGGCCCTGGTCCTCCTCCTCCTCCTCCTGCCCCGGGGTCCTTCCGTGCCTCCCCCCTCCCCCCGCCCCGTCTCCCAGTCCTGCTGCGCGGGGTTCTGTTCCCCTGCCTGGCCCCTGACTGCCCACGGCTCGCAGCCCAAGCCACTTCGCTCACGTCCCTAGTGGATAAAGAGCCCTTCTCGCGCCCCAGGTGCCAGGCCCACAATGGGTGGCACCGTCGAACCTGCGAGGCAGCTGACATCTGATGGGGCAGCCTCTTCTTTCTGGCTCGGTTCCCCACACAGGTGACCTTTACCTCTGAGCAGGACTGCTGGGTGTGCGCAGCAGGGCTTTGGCAGGGAATCGCTGCGCCCACCTGGCTGAGGCCCCGGCAAATGGCTGCATCTGTCTGCCTAGCTCCTTCTGGCGCGGTGCAGGCCATTTCTGAGTTGCCGCAGTCTGTTCTAGCACTGTAGCTGGACTTCACAACGAAATTCCTCTTCCCTGCTTAGAACCACTCCACCTGCATTTTTCTGCTCACATCCATTTTCCGAGCCCCAGGCCGTGCGCTGGTCTCCAAGGAGCTTGGTGCAGCACCTGTGGGCCCTAGGCCTTATGAGCTGGTCAGCTGGACACACTTGGGTTATCCGAAGCTCTACTGCTCCTGAGGACCTACTGTGCCAGCCAGATCCTAGCCCACTGCTAGTGGGGATTGAGGCCCAAAAGGTGGGCTACTGGGTGGCTGCCTCCCCGCAGGCTCCGGGTGCATGGATGGCCGGCATTGTCCAAGCCCCAGAACCGCCACGATAGCCAGAAGCAGGTGCCAAGCAGTGTGTGTGCCCCCTTCCAGGCCAGCCTTCCAGGCTGAGTTGTACGGCGGGCCCTAAAGCGGCTCGAGGCCAACCCGTGACCCTTCCTTGGGGTCCTGCTTGCTCTCTCTTCCCAGTCTGCTTTTCGCTATGTTGTGTCTACAAAACCAAGCCCTCTTTTTGGTTCTAAGCCTTCACTCGATTCTCTTAGATTATCTAATAGTTCTCTCCCTTCTCAGAGCTATTCCTCTGGTTATTTATCTCTGGTAGTAGGGTGACAGCCTCCTCTGGGCATCTTCAGCGAGCACAGTGATGAAGCATGAAAGGATAAAATGAGGAGGGAAGGCTCTGGAATCAGAGGGCTGCTTCTACCCGTTAAGGAATACATGTGAAGAATGAGGGCTCAGGATACCATCATTATCAATATTTTGTACAACTAATGTTAACTGATGAGTTACTATGCTGCAGGGCCTTTGTTCAGTGCTTCTTATTATCTCACTAAATCCTCACAGCATCAGAGAAAGAGCCTGTATTATGGGAATGGAGACGCACACCAGTCTGCAAATACAGTGAATGAAGAGATGTTGCATTCAAATGTACCAATAAACTTAATGGAAAAAAAAAAGATCCTGACAACAGTCTCGGCAGAGCTGGGGACGAAAGGGAAAGTTAATATTTTCCAATAAAGTAAATCTGGTTGTGTCGCCCCCTCCCCCAAAGAAAAACACCTAAATGTGCCAGTACAATGTAAGCGCCTATACAGGATAGCGTTTATTGATTTTAGGGTTACCACAAGACGCTTACTTAGAATTTTGTTGTGATGATTAATCTTTCCATCGGGTTTCAACAAAGCATATCAGATTCTGTTATTTTGGAAGTCTCACCAATTACGTCCCTGAAATAAAAGCAAGACGTCAGATGATTACACTGAGTATGGTGAGGTACATGATGAGTCCCTCACAGAGGGTCACCACTTCTGTCAGGGTACTAGGAAAAAAGATGGCGGTGGCAGGGTAGGGGGCGCGGCCGTCAATCCAAGACCCCGCCTGCACAGGGGCTGCGGGCAGCTGGCAGCGGGCCCGGCCCACGCCACGTAAAAGCTCCGCCCCCTGGGACAACCCCTCCTCCGAAGCTGAGGCGCTTGCGCCAGCTCCTTCCTGCCGGCTCAGTCTCACGGAGCATGCGCTATCTAAGAGTACTCTAATTGGCGGATCTGCACGCCTCGACGCATTCTGATTGGTGGTGCCGGGTCGACCCCTCCCCCAGCTTCTCACCCAGCGGACAGAAGCTCGGTGTTGCACGGAGGGTCGCTTTCAATGCGTCCAGGCACTCCAGGCACTCCTGAGTCCGCTGTACCCCTCTTCACAAGCTCTGTCGGACATGTTCTCCAGGGCCCAAGTGCAGCGAGTTCTGCAGAGGGTGCCCGGGAAGCAGCGATTTGGCATCTACAGGTTCTTGCCCTTCTTTTTTGTCCTGGGAGGAACGATGGAGTGGATCATGATTAAAGTGCGCGTGGGACAGGAGACGTTCTGTAAGTGGGGTGCAGCAGCCTCCGTTTCCCTTCTGGAAGGCACGAGGCGGCAGGGATTCTTTGCCTGAGGGGGGTATTAGATTGCAGACTGCTCGTTCCTCACGGCGCCGAGCTGCTTTTTCACGCTTGTTGGAAGGGCAGGTGCAGTTCCACTCCCTGGCAGCTTTGGTGCAACACCGGCTAGAGGCACCCCGCTTTTTTGTACGCCTAGTACATTGACGTCCAGCTTTATGACCTTCTCTGCAATTTGAGGGGAGGGCACGTTCCTCCAGTCAAACTAACCTCTCAAGCCTTCCTTTCACACTTGCCGGCGACATTGTTTGGGCCTAAGGAACAGGATTGCTCTCAGCAAAAGAATGAGGGTGGATCCTGAGGATTCATGGAAATCCCTGCTACTAACCTGTCCTCTCAGAGCTCTAGCGCAAACCCTGGAAGAGGTGGTCTCGTGGCTTAACTAATTACCACTGTCTTTACAGAGCAGTCATTGGCACCAGGTCTTTGGCCTGCACTCAGATGCCCAGCATTGTGAAAAGAATGCCTGGCATTGATTCGCAGGCCAGTTCCCCCTTTAAGGAAGAGTTCTCCAAGCACTGGGTCATTTCTGCTTAGCCTCTCTCCTGAAACACTATCACTTGTGAATTGGCAACTCTCATTTTTAGTGTTTCCTTCTGTTCATTCACTCATCGACATTTAATGATAACCCAGGAGAGCTTCTGATGGACAAGGCAGAGGGTCTTCCACTCTGGCAGAGCTAATCGGAAAGCCAGATCATAAAAGAGTTATCTTTGGGGCTAGGGTGTAGCTCAGCAGTACAGCACTTGCATAGCACGCAAGAGGCCCTAGGTTCAATCTCACTGGGAAAAAAATACCATGAAGTGCTGTGGGGTCAAGTGCAAGGACAACTGGAGTCCAGGCGGGCAGTTACCATGTAAGACAGGCCCCAAGGGCTGTCAGCTGGGGGAATGTCTGTGGGATTGTTTTTATGGCAGTGGTCAGAGAAGGCCTGGACACCTTGCGTGTATGCTGTTTGATTGAAGAGTGAAAGTTACAAAGATGCTTGGGCAGAGCCATAAAAGCACTAAGATAAATGTATGTATCTAGTTGTATATTCCTTGGGCTATTTTCTTGGAAACGGGTGTATAGCCAAGGATTGGAGGGTTTGAGGAGTGGCTTTTTGTGGGGAGATTGGTAGGAACACTTAGAGATAAGGGCTGACAAAGTTTGGTGATTGAGTGGACTCAGGAGACGGAGTACAGAGGCTTCTGGTGGGACAGCTGGGGCAGGGGCAGAACACAAGCAGGGTGATCCTGGCCTTCCTTTGGGGATGGGCTCAGGTGGAGATGGTTACACAGATGTGATGCCCAGGAGGCACATCTGGGCCAGAAAACTGGATTTGTGGACTAATCACAGGCAAATTGTGGTGAGAATGTCAACCCCCCATTTGTTGACTTCGAGTGGCCAGAGAGGCAAGGAGGGATACCAGGTTGTTCTTACAGAAGACAGATTAAAGAACTTTGAGTACGTGAAGGGAAAATAATCCCATCTTCAGAGAGACTGGATACCTGGACCCTTGGGAAGGTGAGAGAGAATGGGTCAGTGCCTGGTAGAAGTAGCTGCCCTTGAAGTTAATTGGAAGAGTCCTTTATGAATATAGGACAAGAGCCTTTGAGGGGCCAGTTTTGTTTTGTTTTTCCTTTTCTTTTGTGATACAGTACTGGGGATTGAACTCAGGGCCTTTACATTTAGCTACATCCCTAGCCTTTTTCTGTGACCAGGCCTCACTGCTAAATTGCCCAGGCGATCCTCAGTGATCCTCCTGCTTCAGCCTTCCAGAGTGCTGGGATTACAGGTGTATGCCACCACTCCCAGATAGAAAGGCCAGTTTTTAGTTAAGAATGATTTCAGAGAGCTGACTAGAAACTGTTGGGAGAAGGAAGTGAGGGAAGTCTTAAAACACTAAGAGATGTACCAGGACCTGATCCTCTCTTTGAAGGCCATGATATTTACCCTGCTATTTAAGGCTAGAACTCCATGAACACGGTCCACATTTAACTCGTTTTGTTTAAAGTTTATTTTGGCATTGAGTTAAACAATGTTGAGATTGAGAAATAGGTGGCAGACTATTGGTTCAATTACTCAGATTTTTAGTTTCTTAAAAATCTAAGCAAAATTTTTGTTTGATACAGATGATGTCTACCGTAGAAAAGCCTCAGAAAGGCAGTATCAGAGAAGACTGGACGATGCATCAGAAACTGAACTTCAGCAGTCAATAAAGTGAACATGAATTTTATTACTGGTTTAAGCTCCTTTAAAAATATACTTGTGATGGGGCTGGGGATTTAGCTCAATGGCACCGTGCCTGCCTTGGAAGTGCAAGGTCCCGAGTTCAATCCCCAGTACCAGAAAAAAAAATGTACTTGTGAGAACCCTTCACACAGGTTGTCCTTTAGCAGCTACATATTATTCCAAGAATTGCTTTTACAGGGAATTTTCATAGTTCTGGAGTTTCTGCTTGAATAGTTCTCAAGTAACTGTTGGACGGTACTTTATGGAAGATTATTTCTTCCTAAAACATCCACCTAATGGCTGTAGTCCATGAATGAATCTAGTCTGTGAAAGGTTTAACAATTCAAGGGTCAACCAGGATGCTTTTCAGAGCAGTCTGAATTGTAAAAGTCTGAATTGTAAAGCTTTTTCTTCTGTCCTGGATCAAACAGGACTTTAGGCATGCTAGGCAAGTGGTTTACCACTGAGCTACATCCCTAGCCAAAGCCCTTTTTTTTTTCCCTTGGGTATTGGTCCTCGAACTCAGGACCTTATGCTTGTAAGGCAGGCGAGTTGCCACTGAACTAAATCCCTGGCCCAAAGCCCTTTGTTTTTAAGCAACAAATGATAACCTTAATTTTTCTCCTCTTTTTGAGACAGGATCTTGCTATATAGTTCAGGCTGGCCTTGAACTCACTATGTAGGTCCGGGATGGCCTGGAACTCTTGGTGATCCTCCCGCCTCTGCCTCCCAACAGCTGGGACTACAAGCGTGTGCCACCATGCCTGGCAATAACTTAAATTTTTTACAGAACTCAAATCATGGATGTCAAAGAACTCTTATTATTACAAGATCATTTAAACTAGGATAATTATGGAGATTACATTTCTGTCTGCTACCAGCTTGTACACTTTTTGCTAGGGTGGTGGGAATTCCTGAATGACTACTACATATTACTCATGCGAGTGCTCTTGTGAACTTCCTGGCATAGGAGGGCAGGCTTCTGTGATTCATACCCCTTTATAATCAAAATGCTACTCTTTCAACCAGCTGGTAAAGATGAAGACAGCTGCTCCTTTCACAAGAAAGTGAATTTACCCAATGAAGCAACCATAGTCTTGAAACAAACGAGAGACAAAGTCTATGGAGGGAGATTTGCCAATTTGACCAACTGTGAGAAACTGGTAGAAAAAGCAAAGGCATACTGGATAATCACATCCAACATCTTTTTTTTTTTTTTTGGTACCGGGGATCGAACTCAGGTCCTTGCGCCTGTGCAGCAGACGGCGGCGAAACCACTGAGCTAAATCCCCGGCCTCCAACATCTTTTCAAACAAGAAAATGTCTACCTTCTACAGAAGGCCAAGTTCTGAAAGTTCCTAGCTATTGTAAAAGAATAAACAAGGTAGTGCTTAAGACTACAGGGTATCCTTAATTTTCTCTGCCATAAACATGTCTCTTAAATTTTTCTAGTTTTGGGCCAGGGATTTAGCTCAGTGGTTCCACCGCCTGTCTCGCAAGCACAAGGTCCCGAGTTCGATCCCTAGTACCAAAAAAAATTTTTTTCTAGTTTTTTCTTCCTGATCTAAATTTATCCACTTATGTTAGTACCACTTATGTAAATTGAGAACTAGGGACTAAGATCTCATCAAACTACTATGGACAGCAAGATCAGCATCACTACTGGGAGATGTCTGAGTGTGAAGCCAGTAAAGGCTCACAGCACCAGTGAGAGCAATGTGCTGCATCATAATCTGCTCACTGTGCCATCTAGTTGTGAACCTAATCCTAGACACAGTTTGGTGATTAGACTGCTGTATAAAAAAATTACAGTAGGGGGGCTGGGGATTTAGCTCAGTGGTTTTGCCGCCTGCTGTGCAAGCGCAAGGACCCAAGTTCGATCTCTGGTACCAAAAAAAAAAAATTACAGTAGGAGGAGGTCAAAATCACAAATTCAAATTTAAGTCATGCCTGGGCAACTCAGCAAGACTGTCTCAGAATTAAAAATACTACAAAGGGCTGGGATGTAGCTCAGTGATAGAGACCCCTGAGTTTGATTTACCAATACAGGGAAAGAAAAGTGGTATGATTCCCCATTATATGGCCACATTCTGTATGTCCCTTCTCCCAGCTAAGAAGTTGAAGTATATTTGATACACAGAATATATGTAATACACACTTATCATTCTTTTGTAAAGAATGACAGTAAATGCCAATAAAACCATTGGCCAACTTCTTTTATCTGCTGTGGTTCTTTCCCTGCAACTTCTTTTATCTGCTGTGGTTCTTTCCCTGACACATCCATCTTGCCTTTTTCCCAGAACCACGAGTCTGAATTCTGTGTTACCCTTCTCTATGGTTCTCCTCTCCATTTCTTTTTCTTCCCTTCAGAATGCTGGTTTTTTTTTTTTTTTGTACTGGGGATTGAACTCAGGACCTTGTGCTTGTTAGGCAGGTGTGATGCCACGGAGCTAAATCCCCAGGCCCTTGTTTAGTTTTTTTTTTTTTGTGGAAAAAGTCAGATTTTCACAATAAATGTGCTTTAAAAAGACTGCAAATCTCACAAGGTTATTTTTGAATATTTTTTTTTGGTACCAGGGATCGAACTCGGGTCCTTGCACTTGCAAGGCAGGCGGTGGAATCACTGAGCTAAATCCCTGGCCCTCCTTGTTTAGTTTTTTCAGACAGGGTCTCCCTATTGTAGTTCACGCTGGGGTTGAACTCACTGTGTAGCCCAGGCTGGCCTCAAACTCATGGCAATTCTCCTGCCTCAGGCACCTGAGTGCTGGGATTATAGGTATGCACCACCATGCCTGGCTCAGAATGATTAAAGGACAACAGGGTTTTGAAAAGGACAGCACAATGTCTAACTTCAAGGCAGGTAGACTAGCAAAGCAATTATTTTATGTACTGTAAGACATTTTCAGACCCTTTTTGATGCTATGGAGAACTCATCTTTGTTAAATGAGGTGCAAGCTTGTTACTTTTCTGCAATCTGAATTTTTTTGGTGGTGGCAAGCACTGTACTGGATGGAGCTATACTCCCAGTCTTCCCTTAAAACTTTTAATCCCCTGCTGGGGATGGTGACAAACACCTGTAACCCCAGTACCCGGGAGGTCTGAGGCAGGAGGATAGCCACGAGTGAGGCCAGGATGGGCTACATAGACCGTCTCAAGAAAAATAAAAACAAAAATCCCCCAAAACTTTTTACCCTCCTATTAGTAACATATAACTACCCTATGTATCATACACTGAAACTACTGGTGGAAATTTAAAATGAAAAAGAAACCCAGTGCTGCCACATGCTGAAAATAGAATGGCAGTGCCCCCTACTGTGAGTTATAAGGCCAAAACATTTTTAATAACTTCAATTTCAAAAACTATAGCACTTATTCTAGAGTAATGAAAACCTAGACTAATTAGCACTTATTGCTGGAAATCCACCACTACTATCTGGTGCAGGGAAAAGAACATGAGCTTTGGGGCTCCACTTTATCATCTGAATTGATCTGGAAAGTACCTAAATCAGGTAAATAGTAAATAAATAATAATAATAATAAATTGTTTTTGTTCATCTTGGAAGTTTTACCTAGACCCCTGATTACTTTTAGCAAAGCAGTATCATGGCTTAGACCGCACACACACATATAAAATTTGGAATTTCTTGACACATCTAGGTGTAACCCCCGAGACGTGAATACCACAAAATACACCAAAATGGGAGAAAGGAATAGTCAATCAATTTTCTCAGTACTGAACTTTTATTCTGCTGACATAGCACAGTTCCAAACTAAAAATGAATAGAGTAATACTGAGCAGTATTTGCTCATAAATACTCATGGGCATGGACTACACGCAGTACAGCCCCACACACTCAGGAGACAGAAATACAGGGATCTGCAAAGCGATATTATAAACATGTTAAACACACACCTGGGCCACCTCTGTCTCCTCTGGCCACAGACAAACTATCTGAAGTGAGTTATTCTACTTTCTGACAGGGGACACACTTCCTTCACCTTCTGCCCTCAATAAATTGCTCTTCAATTTTAATCTCAACCTGCATTTCTGTCTATGCTGGGCATCCTGAGGACATGTTAGCCTTGACTGCCAGCCTCAGAGGGGTGGCAGGTGACACTTCAGGCTGTAGTCTGATTACATGTGCTTTTTTCAGTCTGATGATGCCTGGGCCCAAACCAGGACTTAGCACACTGACTTTCACCTGCTCCTAAGGAACTTTATTCTCTTAAACTGGCAAAACTGTTAGTATGACATCAGGGCTTGTAGGAGTGTTTTCTCTTTAATTTGCTTGAAACTAATAGAACAACCAAACGGGGCTAATCCAAATCACTTTGCAAACTCCATTTTTATTTTGATTAAAAAGCTTTAGATGAACAAACATATGATACATACATATTGTAAGGACTAGTAACCACTTAAACCTTAGATGATGATATAATACAGAAATTAGAAAAAACCAAGTTTTAATTCTATCTAGAAACACTCAAGCTGAAAAATCAGTACCAGTAGAGGGCTTTCCACAAGTTAAGTGTCCTCCCTCAATTCTTCCTCACAGGAAAGGGAGGGTGGGTTAAAACAAATAATTAAAGGCCTTTAAAATTAGTTGGCTAACATTCTATTTTAAACCTATAGGCCCGGCCATATAAACAAAATTTTCCATAGGAACTTACATTTTGAAAACAGGCTATTATACTTTCAAAGCCACATTACTACAGTTCCTAAAACTCATGGGAAAAAAAAAGATATATGGTTTACTTGTACTTTAAAAAGTCAGGAGTTGTTTTTTTTTCTTCCTTTCTTTCTCTTGGGAAGATGGCTGACTTCAAATCTTATATCCTAAATATTAACTGATGTTCTTTAAATTAGTGTACAGAAAGACATGATTCTAAAATAAATAAAACTTTCTTTCAATTAACTTAATTAGGGCCTGCCTAGCTGTACCCTGGGCCAGCTCTACACTGCCTTAGGGAGATCCTGGCTGGCTCTTGAGTCCCAGGGCACCCAAGGGATGGGAAGGAGCCTGGAGGAAGAGTGCTCTGGCTTCTAACACCCCCAGGGCCCACAGTGAAGAGTTTTTAAAGAAGTCTCATCCAGCCCTTAAAAAAGGGAAATAAAACGAATGCATGAAATAAATAAATAATTTAACCAAAATTAAGTTTCAGGTTCTTTGGTGTAATTCAAGGATGTCTACAAAGAAGAGAATTTGATTGCATCACACAGTCCAAGATGATTTAATGATCCAAATAACCAGAGTTGAAGATTTCTTTTTCTGGGTCAGTTTAACAATAAGGTACTGACATACTACTGCAATATGTTTCAGAATTCAAAATTATTGAAAATACTTGATGCAAACTGAGATCCAGTGGTTGACTAATGGCAATTAAGTTACAAGGGCCTCCTGTATTTATGTTTTTTTTGAGACAGGGTCTTGCTATGTAGCCCTGGCTAGCATTGAACTCATGATGTAGCCCAGGCTGGCCTTGAACTCATGGTGATCCTCTTGCCACAGCCTCCTTCCTGAGTCCTGGGATTACAGGCCTACGTCACCATGCCCAGTTAAGGGCCTCCTGTATTCAAAGTATTTACATACAAGAGATACATTTCCATTCTATACTCTTTTTTCCTCATGATTTATTAAGTATGATAATTAAGCATGTGGGTATTGATTCATACATTAAAAGGAAAAAAGTATCCTCTAAGAGTCACTCAAAAACAATGGTGGAAACTCCACCACAAATGCAACCACCCTGTTACAACAAAGAAGGTTTCAAAAACATGCTGCCATGAAATGATGTTTCACATTTGTAGTTTCCTACCATTTAAGCAGCACACTGCCTCCAAATGTTTATTCTAGGGCCATATAAGAAAAAAGGTCACTAAACCCTAGTATTTGGGATCCATAATGGTCTTTTTATTTTTTAGTAAATAATGGTCTTTTTAGTGAGCATTTTCTTAAATTATGATTCCTTTTTCCTGTAATTCCAAAGCACAGGTTAAATTAAAAAATATATTTTAGAAAGTATTAGATTTCTGGTTGAGAATTACAACCCTGAAACTTAGAAGAAAAAAATTTCCCAACTGATAAGGAAATAAAGAATATAAAACATATTTGCATATGTAGGCATTGTACCCTTTCACAGTTAATGCTCACGACACAGTTCATATCCAATTACTAGGGCCAGGGATTTAGCTCAGTGGTTCTGCCGCCTGCCTCGCAAGTGCAAGGTCCCGAGTTTGATCCCCGGTACCAAAAAAAAAACAAACCCCAAAAAACATATCCAATTACTATACTCCTTTCTTTAGGTAAGGTTGTGTTATATTGAAAAATAAGTCATCTCCATGTACACCTCAATGCTTTCTTCAAGATGAACTTCAATGTTTTCCAATGTAACATTTAAATTCTCAAGTCATCTAACATATATAGGCATAACTTGTGAATTTATTATAAACAGGTCAAAAGTACCCTTAAACTTACCTTCCAAGGCTAAATATAACTCTTGGCTATGCACACATTCTGCAAAAATCAATGACACCACGGATGTTTAACTCAGCACAAGAAAATTGCTGTTTCCTCCAGGAATCTGGGAAGTACACTAGCTGTAGATGGACGCACAGCACTGACTATGGGTTTCTATAGAGAGCCTCTGAGTTAAAAGAGCAAATGTGACAAACATCTATAATCTAAGTAACAACCTTCCAAAGAAAGCACTTGACTTTACCTGTAAGAAACAGCTTTTTCAGAAAGTGGCTTAAGATACTCAGGCACACAAAACATACATATACATACTCCCCGCTCTAAGATGTAAACTAGAACAAACTTCACATTTCATTGTCAACTTAAACTAATCTGTAAACTCAAGTTTTTTTTCCATTTTGTTTCTTCTTTTATGAAAAAAAAAAAAGCACCCCCTCCCCTAAACGAAACAAAAAACAAAATTCCCAAGCCAAGACAACATTGTTGATGGTTTCAGGTCCATGGCAACAAGTAAAAAGATAAAACTCCAAGTCTAAATGTACAACTAATTATGAAACTGGTTTTAAACAAAGGAAACATATGCAAAAAAATCTTTGTGTATTTGATAAAGTCAACTTAATATAACAAAATCAAATTGAAATAGCTTATTAAAAGTGTCCTTATATAAAAATGGCCTTGTGATGTACAGTAAAATGCAATAAAAATTATCCTTTGTTCCTTCCCCCCACCCCAGTAACTAAAATGGCTACTGTTCCACAACTCTTTATGCTTTATAAAAGAAACGTAATGATGTGATTAAACGTTTTCTAGGTTGTATGCTTGGCGAATGTTGAGGGTGTCTCGAAGCATCAAATCCCGCAAGCGCCAGAGGGCATCTGCCATGGTGGTGTGGGCCCCTTTACTTTTGAGCCAATGGGAGGGTAGGCGACTCTCCTGTTCTTTTGATAAATGGATGTCACGTCTTCGAGCTGAAAATTAAAGTGCAAATAAACACAAATTGGAATTTTAAGATGACAACATGTCCTTTACTTCTAAGGGCTGATAAATTATAAAACATTTTATATTTTAAAAATATTATTATTTTATTTTGTTACTGAGGATTGAACTCAGGGCCTTCACACTGAGTTACATCACCAGACCTTTTAAAGTTTTTAAAATTTTGAGCAGAGTCTCACCAAGTTGCTATATTGCTCAAACTGGGCTTAAATTTACGATCTTCCTGCCTCAGTCTTCCAGAATGCTGGGATTACAGGAGTGAGCCACCATGGCCTGGCTAAATGCTGTATTATGAATTTTTAACAAGCAAATTTTTTTCTTTCAGTGGTACTGAGGATTGAACCCAGGGAGAGCTGAGATATACCACCCCACCTTTTATTATTTTATTTTGAGACTGGGTCTTACTAAATTGAGTAGGCTGGCCCTGAACTTGATTCTCTTGCCTCAGCCTCCTGAGTAGCTAGGATTACGTGCAAGTGATACCTCAAGTAAATTTTTTACATCACTTCATTAGGGACTAAGAGATCTGATCATTAATAATTTATTTTATTTTTGTTTGTTTATTGGTACCGGGGATTGAACTCAGGACCTTGTGCTTTCAAGGCAGGTGATGGAACCACTGAGCTAAATCCCCGGCCCTAATAATTTATTGTAGGTGCCACTGATTTTTAATTTTTTTTAATTTTTAATTTTTTTGGTATGGGGATTGAACTCAGGATCTTGTTCAAGGAAGGCACTGGAACCACTGAGCTAAATCCCTGGCCCACCACTAATTTTTTAAAAATTAATTTTATTTTCTTTTATCCCATTCCCCGCCCCCAAGCCCCTCCCTTCCCTATGTACAAAAGCTTTTGTTTCTTTTTTTTTTTTCCCCTTCTATTTTCAATTTTTTTCTTGTCCTTCCCTGGTGTCACTGATATTTAATTATTACTTCAACACTAACAAACCAGCCTAAAAAGGTAAATATGTGAAGGGGAAAACATATCTTCCACTCTTAAATCAAATTATCAAATTTGGTTTAGAAATGAAGAATAAGTAGAAACTTCCAAATTTCTCTCCAGTTTCTAGATAAGTTATTTCAGTAAATAGTGAAAATTTATATTAAATCTGTTGAACTACATGACTAATTTGATAGCCTGATGAAAGTATACTTTCCAATTTTTTTCTCTTTTTAAAAATAAATTTGGTATCTACACTAGGGCCCAAATTCCTGAAAAATTGAAAAAATACTCCAAAAGATGGCAGTGATGTTTGTAACAAAACTAAACTTTGAAATTTGACTAAAAATTCCATTTTCAGTGTGTGATGTTAATATACAAAGAAGCTCCAAACCATTTGATGAAACATACAATTTATTTTACTGGTATATGCAAAAGGCATGTTTTGTGTTTTTTTTGGTACTGGGGATTGAACTCAGGTCCTTGCGCTTGCGAAGCAGGCGGCAGAACCACTGAGCTAAATCCCTGGCCCAAAGGCATGTCTTTTATATAAGAGCCAACAGCAGGAGAGGAACTGGGAAGAAGCATATATTTCACAAAGGCTTATTCAGAAGGATTCTCCTTACCTGCCAGGGTTTGGTCCCACTTGCTAATGCTGTTGGACTCAGCACTGAGTCCCTCAATGTATTTCAGGTAGGCCTCTGAGTGCAGAAGCCGTTGGGTCTTCGGTGGGGGAGCCACAAACATAGGTGTTGTTGGCTGCTGTATGACAGGGGGGCCAGCTGGATGTGGACCAGGATATGGAGGTGGTGCCTGCTGCCCTGGAGGCCCCAAAACTCCCACCTGAAAGAGCATGGGGCAATGTGGTGAGGCAAAAAGATACTCTGTATGTGTTCTGAGAAGGAAAATGGCTAGAATTCTGTTGAGTCCTAGAAAAATCAAACTGGGGGGCTCACCTGTTGTCCATATGGACTTCCACCTGGTGCTGGAGACCCTACCATAGGGGCCACTCCTTGGTTCATCACACCTATAATTCAGAATGCAATGGCACAATTAGAGGCTCTGAGTTGGATGACTGAAAAGCTTGTTTGATAAGAAATGAAGCCATTTATAATGCCAATCTATGCATTGAGTGTGGATAACCATAAGCACCCAAAACAAGATTCAAATAGAGAGTTTATATTTTTTTGTTTCTATGTAAAGCACTATGCTAATAGAACTTGTCAAATGCACATCAATATGGCCATTCTGTAGAAGTGATCTGAATATTGTATAAAATTCTAATCTTTCTCTAGGTAAGCTATAGTCAGAATACACCTGTTTTCAAGGTACTTTTCTTCTGACAACACAGTCTTCTGGAACTGGAGCCTGCGTTAATTTCAGCAGGAATGGTGCTGGAATCAGGCTCAGCAGTAAAGACACAAGGGAAGAGGCTGTCGAAGTAGTTAACTGAATTTGTGGAGGCTAGAAGCTCTGCCTTGCTGTCCCCTTGAGGACCATTAGGGGATACTATAATACAGACAAAAAAATGACACTTCCATCTGATAGACTAGAACTCTGAAAATGCATGTATGGAAGTGGAGTAGCCTTGTTGGTATTGCTTTAGATACAAAATGACAAAGGAACAGAAAGAGTTCATGGCCCTACTATATTTATACTATTTCTCTGGTAATAACTTAGTGAACTTCCTTTGGTGAATGTTCATTAGCAAATGTTTTCTCACAGGCACTAGATGGTAGTAATAAGATGTCCTAAATTAAGTATCTCAGGCTATATATCCCAAGCCATCCATTTGCTATTTGGATAAAACAAAGAAATAGGCAAAGGACCCAGTTCATTAAAAACAAAACACAAGTGAAACCACACTGAGCTGTTCTCTAAAAGCTTAAACAAGACCTGCTGGCTATGCAGAATGATAATAAGGAACTAACTTCATAGTCTATAGTTTCTCTGGATTAAAAATGCTGATATATTGCTCAGGCAGAAGATCATTATTCTAAGGTTTAAAATGTTAAATGCCACTTACAAAAAGAGGCATTTATTCTCTTGTTAGAGAAAAAAATAAGTAAAAACAAGCTTGTTTAAAAACAGGAATGTTTCCATGTCAAGTGCACGGAAGTACACCCAGATCATCACAGTAGGATCCTAATGATTATTTATGAACGAATGAAGAGGGGGTATGTAAGCTTCTGTTGCAACAATACATTACTAAGTCCCTGATCATTCCCCTAGGACACTCACCCACCCACCTTAGACTCCACACAGGGAGGGTCCCTAAACTGCCTACATCATTGGTTTGCAAGGCAGCACAAACAAATCAGCAAACCTCTCTGCTTCCTCTGTTTATAAGTGCCATGCCAGGGTAGCGAGAGGGGATGTGAGCTGAGACTGATCAGATATGTGAGTGTACACACCAAGAGGGTTCTTCCTTGTCTCTCTATGACCAGAGGTGTGCTTCCTTCAAATGCAACTTAGATTCTGAAAAAGGGGAAAGTATAGCTATGCCCCAACGCCCAACAAAAGACACCTGCTACCAGGAGGCACTGGACTTATGGCTCTCACAGAGGGCTACATGCATCTAGAAGGTGTCAACTCCAACCTTGTCTTACTGAATTCAGAGAAATACCCTATGCCAAGCAAGAGGGCGCAGATTTAGGGCCAAGTTCACTGGTCACACAGGAACATCTATTTTATGACTGACTCCTGCTGCCACAGCAATTTACCTAACACACCACTATTTTCAGAATGAAATGCCCACTTCTATAAACATCTCCTCCTCTCGGAGTATTGGGTGTAAGGAAATAGGACAAGCTTTCAACCACATTATATCTGGCTTGGGCCCCTGTTACTAAAATATCAATTTTAGTAATGGAGCTAATGTTACTCCAGGTGATCTAAGGGCATATTCCCTCCAACTAGATACCAGTCAAGAGCATATGATGGCAATTAATATGGGAACTTATGATTTTCCTTTAAGCTTTCTTTGAAATAATCTTTCAACTTGTTAATTCATTATAAAGTCAAATTGGAGCTATTTTTAGACCTCATTTATGTACAGTATTTCTATGTAAAAGAAGTTCTAGGGTATGGGTGACAGACAAACCAATGTCTACAGCTAGTACAGTGGGCTGATTCTTTAAAATGTTAAGTATGGCTTTTTAAGGGATTCAGATACAGAAAACTAATTCAATGCAAATTCATTTCCTTCCTCCTTTTTGTTCCCAGGATAGACTAAGTGAAGGATTTTTAAGGAATTTCATATTAGTGACTCCACAATCCCTTTAGAAGGGCTGCTTGATGAGGAGGAAATAGAGCAGGGACTCTATAGAGGAAACTCTGTGAGATAAGAATTATACTCAATGGACAAATGTACTCAGAAGCAAAGAGTACTATTATGTATGACTCGGAGGTACAACTCGGGAAACTTCATTTACTGATAGGAGGGTGTGGTCTTCTAGGCTGGCTGGCTTTCTGAACACATGTCATATGTTTAAGTAATTATACAGTATGCCTCTTGCCCCTTGGTCTGCTGAGTCTGGCCTCTACCGTGTGTGTATCCTGTGCTGCTGCCACACAGTCAGGTACACAAGAACACAGGTGGTGGGCCAGCTGCTCAAAACATAGGATAAGGCCCTGATGCTGATAGTTCTGGGATTCTCAGTAAGGGAACCCTGGCCACAATTGACAGCAGTTATCTCCTAGAACCAGTGGCTGAGGGAGGAAAAAAACCATGAAGATGAGATTAATGAGTGAATGAGGATGTTCTTACCCGGTGGTGTGATGCCCGGGAGGCCAGACACACCTGGCGGAAGATGGTGGGGTGGAGGCCCCCCAGGGTGAAGTGGCTGCATGCTGCCCATGCTAACAAGGCCATCAACTGGGCCCTGTAAAGGTGGAAGGCCTGGCGGATAGCCACCCATCATGCCTTGAAGGACACAACAAATTTCAGACATGCATCATTAACATGCAACATGAGCTAATAACAATCCCCGACATGCACTACCCACGAATAAAGCACCCTTAGTACTGCATGATATAACTGTAATTAGTGAAATCATTTTATTGCAAAAATGAACAGAATAAAAAGTTACAAATATGAAACCCAACATTTCTGGATGAATTAGTACTTAGTACATTACTGTTGTAGTTATTTTTGCTGGGATAAATATGCTACATTTTTCACTTTAATAATAAAGACTTCTAATAACACCTTTCCCACCTTCAGAATTACTGCCAAATGTTCAAGCAGAGCGACCAGTTCTAAGGGCTAAAACTCTAACTGAACAGCACACACCTCATCATTCCACTCTGCCCACACTCATATGCCTACCATGGGTACACATGAGGGGAATCAAAATGGAGGGAAATGAGGTGCATGGTCCTGATCACAAAACAACAAAGCATGGCTCTCCAGCTTGGGGCAAGGAATAATCTACTCCTCCACCCATTTAGCCCCTCGCTGCTAGTAAGAATGGATTATGTTAAGGTTTGAGCTGGGAACAGCTAAGAGCCATCACACTGAATAAAGTTTCATCTTTTAAATTTCAAAATATCTTAAAGATAAAATCGAAATCCTCCCAAGCCAACCAAAGCCCTGGCCACTCAGAAACCTATATTCAGACTTTAAGAAAGAACAGCTGGAGAATCAGGCTCTGCTGACATGAGAAAATGCCAATTTTCATCACTGTCACCAAGCTCACAAATGTCCTCACACAAACCTTCAATTAACAGGGAGCATTTTAATCAAGACAGAATTTCTGTGAACAGAGGCTTTTACTCCTTTATTTTCAAAGCATTCCTTCTCACAACAAATATCTTCTGTTAGCTAGGGGAAAGTTTCAGCAAACAAGTATTTTTTGGCAAAAGAGGTGAAAATAATTTCAAAATGTCAAAGACTCACCTATGAAAAGCCTTTTAAAATCACATGGCATTTTTTTTTAAACAACAAAAACTACTTTTTTGGGAGTTGTAATGGTTACAATGAACAAGAACACAAAGCTCCCCCTGAAGCACAGCCACTTTTGGTCAAAGTTTCTTTCAAAGGGAGGGGTAGGGACTAGTGTCAAACCTCACTTTTATAATATATTCTTTGTGCAGGGTCTCTGGGAAACTTGATTCTGAGAATTTCACTCTGACTTTCCCTAAGAATTATTCGAAAGGTATTTATTTATTTATAAAAGTTTAATTTTAAAGCCATGACATTACTAAAATTCTGATTTTAGATCACATTGCTTCCTTAAGTCTTAACTGAAAAACAATTACATAAACCAATAAAACAAATGTGAAATATCTCTATACATGAAATAGAATGAGTTTTATTTTTGGGAAATAAGAGTTCTGAGAATAAAACTACTTTCGAAAAGACACCATAATCTTAAACATGAAGAAATCCAATGCTACTAAACTGCCTTTTAACCACACCACCAGGTATAGCTTTTAGGGATAAGTAGGTGATAATTTAAGGATGTTAGGAGGCTTTGCTTTCAATGACAAAAGCCCATCTGAACGCAGCCTTCACAGGCTGTGGTTGAAGATTCAACTATTAAGCACTGAAAGACATGATACTTGTCTTCATTAAACTGTACTTTGGCATTTATTATCCCAGTCACATGTGTTCAAATGAGCTTCAATGCTTGTAAGCAAAGCTGGTCTCAGACACCAACAAGGCTAAGACTTGGTCGCTAAGTAACCTGTAAGTCCATGGAAAGTCATCCTCTTAGCTGCAAAGTTCCCTCTGTGGACCAAAGACTGGTTACTGTTGAGAATGCCTGCCCCTCACTCCCATGGCCCAGAGGTCTGGGCAGCACACCCTTAATAATGGAGCAGGGGCTTTCTAGAGGGCCCACCTTCCTCATCGATAGAACTCTATGATGTTATTCCCCAACAGGGAGCTAAAATGCTGCAGCTGCTGTTTTTAAAAAATGTTTTTAGCTGTTTGTATTCATTTTGTTAATATGTCCCTGGGTTTTGTAGTCACAGCACAGTGCCACAATATCACACATCAAATAGAACAAAATAAGATGTAAATGAGGGAATTCTAACTTTCAAAGTCCCCATGTTCAAGGCCTGATTTCTAAAAACCTCTGGAACCCCATTAACCAAAATGGGCCATGGAATAGAGCAGGTGATTATGAGATTTGTTAGATCAACATCAGTTACACTGAAAGTACTGAAAAGCCATGATTCAGATGTGCTTTGGTGAGTGCAACTGCTGAGTTCAGAGACAGTGCATTTGAGAACTTGCCATCACAAAAGTTAGGAGCGACAATGGAAAAGTTAACCTATGGTATCTATTCTTCCTTAAAAAAGCAAAAACAAAAAAGGCAAAAACAAAAAGAGCATCCCAATGAACCTGGCTTGAACAACATTGTCTTGGACTCCCTGCGAAAAAGGTCAGACTACTGGCTTAAGAAGAAACAAGTGGTTTGTACAGACCTCACCAGGCTTGGAGAGGTCACAAAGAAGAGGCCTGAGAAGGGTCTGCAGGTTTCTCATTGGAGACAAGTCAGACAAGGATATTCAATTAAAAAAATAGTCAAATTTGCTATGGCTACCAGAACCAGAGACAACACACACAAGCAAACCACATTCATCATTTTCTTTCTTTCTTTTTTTGTTTAAATATGTGACTGGGATACTAACAGAAAATGCAGTTTAATGTAATTAAATAGAAAAGCATTACAGAGTGGGCACAATGAATTGAATAAGGACTTTGTATTCTATTTTTCAGTCATGCACATTGGTGACCAAGAAAGGATTTACAATGCATTGTCAAAAATCCTTTTAAATGGTCAGCCTGTTAAGGATGGCTGCAGCAGAACAAGACAAACTGAATACTGGCATGAGACAGAAAATCAATATCATCTAAAGACTGATACTGTGTTTTCTCTTGGGAATTCCTCTAGAACAGAATTTAGCATCCACTTATATTTTCTGCTGTAGCACTCTATCAAGAGCAGTCTGGGGTGAGAACATCACCAGACCATGCCCATAGCCAGGGAAGAGCTGCTCCCTACCAATTCCCAGGGTTGGGTCCAGGGCCCATTTCTGGGTTAGAGGGGAGGCATTGCCTGCATGGGAAAGGCAATATAGGACGACATGGATGACTTCAAACTTTGAATCTGTCATGACAAAAGGCTACAGACTGTGGGCTACTCCTCTTGGAGAAAAAAAAAATGAAGGAATTTCTTAAAGTGGAAAAAATGGTCTTATCTCCTGTTTTTACCTGCAACAGGTGTCAACTGCTGATTGAGCATCCCCATTGGTGTTGGTGGTGGCACCACCCCCATGAGAGCCCCCACAGGGGTGCCTGCTCGGGGAGAAGCACTCGGCTGCTGTTGCTGTGCTGCTCGCTCTCTCTCCTGCTGCTCAGCAACTTTAGCTGCCCGCTCTGTAAAGGCATTTCAGATTTTCAATTCTGTTTTTAACCCAGGAATTCAAAATACCATCCATTGCATTCAACAGGACTAGTAAAAACACAGGCAACAGTTCTGTCTCAATGGAAAGAACAGTAGATGACTAATCTCAACACAGGAGGAGTCGGGCCGATTTCACTTGGTAACCTAGAATCCAGCTTTCCTATCCCATCTTGAGAACTGGTCTGCAAAGATTTCAAGAATGTTAAGACTGCAACACACATTCAGAAAGCACAGGTTTTATTTAAACACATCACCAGTGTAACCACCGTGGTTAATCTCACGAGGCACCCTGAAGATGAGAAGCACTACCATTATTCTAGTATTAATAGCAATACAGATTATTTATAATTTCAACATGAAGCAATTCCATGGCCCATTATAATTTTTGGCACAATTGTTACTTACTATATTTTCCTGATTCCTTGTTCCCAATTTTACTAACATTTTGAGGACTCTAATCAATGTCATAGATTTAGCAGCTGAAGAAAATTAACTCTGTAAGGGAAAAGTAGCTTACTTCCTCTTCCATAAGACTTTAGGGAAAGTAAATGGCTAATTTCTATGTTCTAATGAAGCAAAGAGGTAATGTTTAATAAATCCCAAGCGGGGGGAAATGCATGATACTCTAGGCTATAATCATCAGAAGGAGGGAATTAACACATACATGGATGTGGCAATGTTCTGAAAGAACCAGGTTTCCTGAAGCTGAGGCAGTTCAAAACTAACCATTAATCATCCTAAATCAGCAAGACTTCCAGAATCCAATCTTATTTCATTCAATACACAAGAGGAGCATTTTCCTGTGGCACTTATGGGCTGTAATCCACTACCCCTTTTCACACTCTTGAGCTACATCTGCATCTCCAGAGCCAGCAGCCCCAACAATCACATTCCAAGCAGGCTGGATCTTTACTTCAGGGGTACTGTATTTCCAAAGTTCTCACCACACAGGGTTTTTATTCAGCATCACCATTTTTAAGTAAGAAATCTTCCCTACCCTTCCGATGGGCAAACTGAGGCTGGGAGACAGGTAGTGACTTGCCCAAGGATACAGAGAAAACCAGCAATCTATGCCCCTGACTCCCGATATTACTCTCCAACTGCCGCACATTAACCCTCCAACATAGAATTCAAAAGGCTACCACTGAGCCCAGGAGGGGAAAAATAGCTAGAGGTCACATGTCTTTAAAGAGAATAAAGAGACAACAGCTCCAGTCTTTCTTTAGGATAAGAATGTGAAAGTCAAGCAAGTCAAAGGAAGGACCCTTGGCTGTGATGGAGTTGCCCGCACAGACTTCATCATTAACAAAGTTTCAGTTTACAGACCCTTGGTAAACTGTGTACAATGTGTATGAGGGACAAAGGCCATTTGAACAACACATCTCCTTGAGCTAGCAGTAAAAAAAATCATTGATGATCCAGACCCCACATTAAATTCTACTATTTTCATTACACAAATACAGTAAAATGAGAGAGCAAAAAAAGAAAACTGAAAAAAACATCAAAGTTCAGGCCTGTGGATCAAATACTAGACTAAGTTACCTGCTGGCTCTCTCTGGGAGAAGCCCAAGTGGGCTGTCCTAGAAAGCAGAAGTATTATAATTAAGTGAGCCAAACTCCTAACTTTGGGTTTTGAATTTAATGCACAACCCCACCAAATGTTCAGAGTTGAGTCTCAGGCAGATACTTGACAATTCACCCTCATCAGATTCCTCCTGAATTTCAGATTCCTTCTAGAAAAATTTCCAACAAGCCACCATCTTCGCCCCTCTTCAACTCTGCCTTGTATTATTATCTCTAAATTTCTCTCTCCTGTTCACACCCTAAATAGCCAGCTGTCCAGTACTGGCTGTGCCTCAGCAAAGGCTTTAACCACTTACCAGTCCAATTATTTAAACACAAAAATTGCATGTTTCGCCATTAATTTTTATAAGATAATGTAACAAGAAATTACAAATGACAATTTTATCAAATTTATTTAATATAAGAATAGACTGTCTGAAATGATACCTGCTCGAGCGAGGACGCTCAGGATAGTACATAAATGAAAGCGCTTCGAGCTGCCTGGGTGACGCTTGGCGTGAACTGTTAAGTGGTTAACACACTGTTAGCCTGCAACTGAGTGGTACATTTGATCTTAGTATATGTGCTGCTGAAGCGAGCACTGTACATTTGATCTTAACTCACATGAAGGCCAGAAATAATCAAAACTCCCCCAAAGCTCTAGGTTCTCAGAGAACTGAGGGTTTTTCAAAGAATGTCCTATAAAACAGTTCTTTATGATATTAGTAGATATTACATAAGTACTTGGTCAAATTTCAGAAAATGCCAGATAATAAAAAAACAGGTTCCTAACTGTAGGTCTTAGAGACTTTAACATGAAAATGTGCCCGGTAAGTTTCTTCTTTTCATTTTTCAAAAGTCTCTAATGTATGCCCTGTAAGTTTCAAAGACAAGAATGTAGAATGCTTTTCAAACTGACTTTGCAGCAAAGTGATTTTTGGCTGATTAGCTGCAGAAGACCCTCAGGGAAGCCTGCTGTAATTTTATAATAATCAATTGTAACAAATGAAAGGAGTAAAACTTTTTAAAAGACGGTTTCTTTGGAGACTGCATAAAGTAATAAAGAGGGGCATCCTTAATAATTAACTTACGTTTGCTGGAAAATAATAATTTGGACCTAGCCAAGATTAATGATTGACCACTGCAGAAAAGATGGATCTAAGCTGGGAAAATGAATCAATATGTAAAATTCCAAAGGAAAAAATACAGCTCAAAGAGCAAAAGTCCTGCCTAAAGTTTAATACTCATTTCTGTATTAAAGCTATGCCTGATATTAGCAAGAATAATAACAAAAAAATTAAAAAACTCAAAATAATTTTCTCTCAAGTATTTGTCCCTCAATAGCTGAGAACCACCAAATCCTTGAATAATAGTTCATGGCCCAATGTGATTTAATTGTAGAGTAAAAGGCAGCTAAGCTTTATCAAAGACATAGCCACCTTAACAGTAGCTATGAATACAAATACAGCACAGGCCAGGACTGGCCTAGAAAACCAGGCACTTCAGGTAAGCCTCAGACTAGAGTTTAAACACAGGGCTTTTCAAGAGCCATAATAGATGATTATTAATTTTTAAAGGCTCCTTTCAGATGAATTTTAATGAAAATTGGATTTTACATCATTGTAGAATCATTCCCCAGCTCAATGTATGTATACTTTACAGGGCTCAAAGAAAAAAAGAAACTCACACAGTTTTCAACAGCAAAACAGCTTTTGTTTGAGGAATTTGGGTGAGGGGTGTAGGGGACGGGGGCGACACACAACGCCAAGATCAGAGGCAGCACTCTGTTCAGTCAGAACAAGCCTGTCACGAAAACTGCAGCTGACTACCCTCTGGAACAGTTGCCAATGTGAAGTTCATGTGCACATGGCAAGAATAAGAAAGGTAAACCCTGTCTATGCTGGTGCATTTCTCAAAAAACTCCCTTGCTTTGAAAGCTGAGACAGTTGTGCTTAGTCTTTATTTACCTTCATATTCTGCCTTCTTGGCCGTCTCAAGGTTTCTCCATTCTGTCCCCACCAGTCGGCTGAGCTCCCCAAAAGAGTAGTCTGGGTGCTGGGCCTTAATCACAGCTCTCATCTCACTGCTGAACAGGATGTAGCCACTCATGTTGATTTTCCTTTTAGAGCCTTCCTTCTTTGCACTGCCTTTGGCAGACTTTGGAGTTGACTGTAAGACAGAACACTCTTATAGTGCATCAGAATGTTGCATCTGGTTAACTGCTGAGTTTCTGGAAGTCAGGAACGTAAGATCCAATAGTTACTGTTTTATAAACACATTCAGTTTGCAGATGGCCATTTTCTCAGTCAAAACACACCTCTTCCTGGCCTCTTACCAGGGTAAGAAAGTTTCACAGAATTCCATAACCGCAATTTTTAAAGGTGACCTCACAGTAAAGTCTTGAGAAAATTCTGAATGGGAAAAAACTGCCAGTAGGAATCACCTCAACCAAAGAATGAGGTTCTAAGGAAGAAGAGATTAAAGTGGATGATGCTACTCCTTATTGGTTTTCTTCAAGACAAGGTGAGGAAAGAATTCTAACAAACCTGCCATTAAATAACCTATGACAATAAAAAAAAAAAGGTTAAACTATAAATCATTAATGGCTTCATGAGAAATACGTGTTTTGTAAATTAAAAACAAACAAGTAAATTAAGGCATTGACATATTTTTAAAAATCTGTTTTTCCTGCAGAATTCTAGATGAAAGTTCACTCGTGGAGGGGATGGCCACATCTGCACATCAAAGCTGAGAGCATGACAAGTAACAGGAACATGTCACCTTCACCTGTGGGGGTGTATAGGGCATGAGGTCCAGCTCACTGGCTAGAGGAGTCTGAAGCTGAGGTAGAGAAGGAGGTTCAATGACCTCACTATCTTCTTCTCCCATCTCTTCAATATCATCATCTCCACCTTCTAATTCAGCAAATTTAGCTTCTAACAATTGGATCTTCTTTTCCAACAAAGGTGATGGCTCCTTCTGAGGAACGATTGGCTTTCTGAAAGAAGTGATATTAAAAAAAGTTACCTAACACCACTCCAGGACTGGTCAAAAAGGAGTCTTCTAAGGGCAGCAAGAGAGTTTAAATAAAGTGACTTCTCTATTCTGCATTTTGTTTCCTCTTGGCACTAGGCAGCAGAGGCACTGACTGACTACAGACCGACTGACCAACTGACCAACTTGATTGTGGACAAGGCCAACATCTCATGAGAGAAGGTAGGCTCAAAAGGGGTTAGGTAGCCCAAAGAAAAAAAACAACAAACTGAGCTAGCAGTGCTAGCCACAGGAAAAGCCCTTGGTTATCGTAAATTGTTAAAATAATGTGGGGTTGTGTTCCCAAAGTGACTCCTTCCACTGGGCAGGCTAGAGCAGCACCTTCTGTATTTGAGAGGGTGAAGCCACTATGTTTGAAAAGGTTAACTGTTTCAGACTGAGCCACAGAACAACTGCAAAACAACTTCATTTTCAGGGTTTCCAGCATTACTCTACCACAGTGGGTGACAGCCAGCCACAAGAGGTAGTTGTGGGCAGATCCTAGACATAAGGCCCCCTAAAATGTTTAAGATCAGACTGAGAATGACACAGAACCTTGCCCTGTGTGGTGAGAAGCTAGGTCGAGCATGTGCGGCTTTCAGAAGTGGCAGAGTCTGAAAGTGCTGGCATTAAGTCAAGCAGTCTGCCTAAACCCCATCTCTGCTACCTATATCCAGATTCACTCACACAGGACATGCCTTGGTGTTATGGCTTATGTCTAGATGTCCCCCCAAAGCCTCATGTGGTCATAAGTGGGGCTTTTTAAGAGGTAGCTGAATCTAGAGTGTGTGATGCTGGAATTGATTTCATGATGCAATGTTATGCTCAAGGGCACTAGGACTAAGTGGGTGAGGACTACCCACCCTAAGTAGCCTGCATAAGATATAAAGGAAAGAGCTGTGGTCATCCCTTGTTGCTTTGCTACCTTCTGCCAGCCATGAACTGTTTTTCCTCTGTGATGCCTGTCTGTCATGCCACCCCTGAGCCAGCTGATTATGGACTGAAACCTTTACAAACTGTGAGCTAAATAAACCTTTTCTCCTTTAACTTTGGGTATTGGGTGTTTTGTTCAGCAATTGAGAAAAGTAACTAAGACACTTAGCTTGGACAACTGCCACAACCTGGGGCACAAAGACAGAGGGACCTTTGGAGCAGAGGAACTACCTCACAAACCCATAAAGCTAGATGCAGAAAACGGTGATTTGCTGGGTTTTGAGACTATAGATCCTGGAAAGAAACCACTTATTCAAAAATACAGAGAAATTATTTTTGGACAAATTTTTTTTCTCCATAGGTTTTTTGATGTTTGGGTTTTTTCCCTTTTTTCTTGAGTTTGCGCTGTTTTTTCTTCTTTCTTCTTTTCTGTTACTTTTATCTAATTCTATTAATTTCCTTTTACTCTTTATTTAAAAAAATTTTGGGGGGGGGTACCAGAGATTGAACTCAGGACCTTGCGCTTGCCAGGCAGGGGTGGCGCCACTGAGCCACATCCCCAGCCCTTCTTTTACCCTTTTTTTGTAACGGGGATCGAACTTGGGATCTTGCACTTGCCAGGCAGGTGGCGGCACCACTGAACTAAATCCCTGGCCCTCCTGTTACTCTTTAATAGGCTCCTTTATCTCACTTTTCATCTTCCATTGCTTAATTATTCAAATTTTATTCATTCTCCAATTCCCTACTCCTCTATCTTTACTAGAATAACCATTAACCTTTATTAATCTTTAGTTAGTTAACTTTATGCTTTTACTCTTGAATTTTTTTTTATTATTAATGGAGGTATAGTTGTTGAATATAGTATTTACTTTAAATAATTGGTTTGTCTTAGTATTTACACAATTATAGATATCTTTTTTAGAGCTTGGGTGATATATTATTGATTCTTATGTTATGTCAATATCCAGTTTGTTTTCAATGCTATAATTACTGATTGTGCTGGGACTATCAGGGTGGCACAGCTGTTGCTATTAACTGGTTTTCTCTGTATGCCAGTATCTGGATTGCCTTTGTGTCAAACTATTGTTTGGTCCATACTGTGGTCCATTCCCAAAGAACTGAGTGCTGGGCCAATTACACTGCATCCTCCTGATATAGAAGGCAGGGTGTCAAAGCTGGCTGGGGATATAAGTGCGACAACTCAATTACAAGATCCCAGGACAGCACCAAATAATTTCTAGGACCCTATATGTGGAACTTCTTGAGGGCTCCCATGAGATGTGGACAACATAGAAGAGATGAGATGCCGTGCTGTGACTCTTCACAGTGGCCCAACTTTGCACTTTTTTTCTTTCTTTTTTTTTTAAATTTTTTTGGTACCGGGGATCGAACTCAGGTCCTTGCGCTTATGGGGCAGGTGGAGGAACCACTGGGCTAAATCCCTGGCTCTTTTATTTTTCTTTTTATCCTTTCCTCTTTTTGTTTGGACCAAGTGTGCTCTGCAGAACTCGTTCTTCCCGTACCCCTTCACCCGTCCCTTTTCAAATAAACTTTTGGCACCATTTTTGGCTTGTCTTGTCCAATTCTTTGTTTGAGGCAAGAAGGACCTGTAATACTTTTTGTTTGTTTGTTTTTTGTTTTTGGTACCAGGGATCCAACTCGGGACCTTGCGCTTGTGAGGCAGGCGCTGGAACCACTGAGCTAAATCCCCGGCCCTGTAATACTTTTGATTAGTAGAAGTGGTTGGATCTAGGGACAGAAGAAAAGGCCTGTAATTAGCCAAACGCACAGAACATCACTGAGAGGCAGATACCAATTGTTATGGCTTATATCCAGATGTCCCCTCAAAGCCTCATGCAGCTTGTCAGAGATAGCTGGATCTAGGGTGTATGATGTTGGGATTAAGAATGTGAGGCTGGGATTGATTCACATTGTGGAATGCTAAGATTAATAAGGGTGGGTAGCCTGGATAAAATATGAAACCAAAAGAGGGCTTGTTGCCTTCTGCCCGTCCTGCTTTATTACAAACCGTTTCTCCTCTATGATGCCCCTCTGCCATGGAGCTAGCCAGTTATGGGCTGAAACCTCTACAAAGTATGAGTTGAAATAAACCTTTCCTCCTTTAACTTTGTATGTGGGGTATTTTGTCTCAGCAACAAGAAAGGTAATTAAGACACCAACTGAAGAGGTTTCCATACTAGCAACAAAGTCTTCCTACTATAATTAACTTGGAAAGTGCAGCATGTGTGTGTGGGTCCATGCCTGTGCGTGCATGCATGCGCACACACAAACACACACACACATACACACACACACAAATATGAGAAGAGAAGGCAACAAAATGCCTCCCAAATCCACCAAAGCTGATCCATGAGGCATCAAGGAGGAAGAAATCAAAAGCTACACATCTAAATTTTTTGAGACAGGGTCTTACTATGTAGCCCAGGCTAGCCTTAAATTTGCAGGCGATCCTCCTGCCTTAGCTTCCCGAGTGCTGGGACTACAGGTGTGTGCCACCATATCCAGCAACATCTGAATTATTTGAAATGATAAGAGATTAAAAAAAAAGATCAATAAGATGCCTGGTGAGTTCAAAGAAGATATAACTAAACAAACAATGGAATTAATAAACAATGAATTTACAAAGACACTGATATAAAAGTGGCTGAACTGAATAAAATGATACAAAATATGAATGACCAATTTAGCAAAGAATTAAGAGTCCATGAAATGGTACCAGAAGATTAAAAATTCTACTTAAGGGCCGGGGATTTAGCTCAGTGGTTTCGCCGCCTGCTGCACAAGCGCAAGGACCCGAGTTCGATCCCTGGTACCAAAAAAAAAAAAAAAAATTTACTTAAAGTATGAGCAGCAGAAGTGACCAATTCAAGGATAAATAATCAGAACTAGAAAACAGGGCTGATGTTGGTGACCAGGTACTCTGAGATACCTTAAGACAACAGGAGAACATGAAAAATGGATCCAACAGCTGCTACATGACACAAAGATGACTAAGGTTTACAGAAATTAGTGAAAAAATCAGAAGACATAGCCCTAGACAAGGACTTTCTGAATAGAACCCCAATTGCAGAAGAAATAACATCAAGAATCAACTGGGCTGGGGATTTGGCTCAGTAGTGCCACCACCTGCCTCACAACAGCAAGGTCCTGAGTTCAATCCCCAGTACCAAAAAAAGAATCAACAAATGCATTTGTAAATAAGGAGGGGAAGGGGCAGGGATTTAGCTCAGTGGTTTTGCCACCTGCTGCGTAGGCGCAAGGACCTGAGTTCGATCCCCAGTACCAAAAAAAAAAAAAAAAAAAAGGAGGGGAAGAGGGGTTGAAGGGAGGGTAGGGGAATAGGATAAAAAAAGAATCAAGATATATCATGTACAAATTCCCTATGAAGACTGTGATCACTGTGTATAACTAAAATGTACCAATAAACTTAATTAAAAAAAGAAAGAAAATACACTTAACCATTAAAAAAAAAAGAATCGACAAATGGGATCAGTTGTATCCAATTCAAAAGCTCAGCACATGGGCTGGGGATTTAGCTCAGCGGTTCTGCTGCCTGCCTCGCAAGCAAAGGACCGGAGTTCAATCCCCGGTACCAAAAAAAAAAAGAAAAAAAAAAGCTCAGCACAGCAAAGGAAACAGAATAAAGAGAAAACTTATAGAATGAGAAAAGAATTTTTCCACCTATTCCTCAGAGGACTAATGTCTACAATATATAAAGAACTCAAAAAAATTTGACGCTTCAGCTGTGTGTGACGCCACACACCTAAAATCCCCACACTTGGGAGGCTGAGGCACTAGGATCACTGTGAATTCACATCCAGCCTTGGCTACACAGTGAGTTCAAGGCCAGCCTGAACTACATACTGAGGCCATGTCAAAAAAAAAAAAGAAAAAGAAAAAACAGAAAGATTCAATCAATACCCATGTTTATAGCAGCAGTTTTTTGTTTTTTGGTTTTCTTTTTTGGTACCAGGGATTGAACTCGGGACCTTGCGCTTACGAGGCAGGCGCCGGAACCACTGAGCTAAATCCCTGGCCCTATAGCAGCAGTTTTTCATAGCTAAATCTTAAAAATAGCCCAGATGCCCATCAACTGACGAATGGATAAAGCAGATGTGGTTTTTTATACAAGGGAGTACTACTCTGCCATAAAGAAGGATGAGCTTCAAGAGATTTACAGCTACATGGACAGACCCTGAGACCATACTCAAGGGAGAGAACAGGAGCAGCATGAAAAGAGAATTAAGATATGTTATGTACATATTCAACTCTCCACAAGGAATGTAATGATTTTGTACTGCAAACATGTAGTGATAAAAAAAAAAAAATGAAGTTACCTCTATTTAGAGAAACTTGCTTTTAATGAATTCTACTGAATATGAACAGAAGTGTTGGATCCAAAGTCAGATCCTAGTTGCTTATATATGGCAAAAAGTTTTCATGGTCTGTGGAAACAAACAATCTCCTGGCAGACAGGATATGAACAAGAACCCAGTATTAACAGAGTCTAAGGCAATGGTGGTGATCCTAGGCTATGCATGTGGCAGGGGCTGTCTGTATCACTGCAAGCTCTGAAAGGTTCGTCATCACTGGTCTAAGCCAAGAGCACTATTAGAATAGCTACCAAGTCCTAGCACATTAAAGATTTTCCTTTAATCTTAAACTGAATTAATTTTTTTCTTTTGAAAATGTCAACTTCTCTAGTTTAGGATCTAATGAAAGAATTCAAGCTGGGGATTTAGCTCAGTGGCACTGTGCCTGTCTCACAAGTGCAAGGTCCTGAGTTCGATCCCCGGTACCAAAATAAGCAAACAAACAAACACTCCCCCACCCAAAAGAATTAAAAACACTGGGCTACACTATTTTGATATTAGCTGAAGTGCTCTTTCTTAAGTTTTCCAAGCCTTACCTGAAGTAGTAAATTTCATCATCTACCACTTTAGCAGAGAGTGAAAACCTCTTTAGTCCCTTGAATTTCTTCATCTGCTTGTCACTCTCATTGTAGCGGCTCTCACAAAGCATAATATCATTTTCTGGTATTTCAGTTGGCCTGCAGGAGAGGAAGTCCTTGAATGACAAGACAGCACACTTTCCTGAAAGAGCAAGTTGAAGAGAAGTTAAAGGAATAAACTGTGGTCCTAGTTTTTAATTAATATATTCACATGATTCAAACTTAAAAATATATACTGGTATAAGGACAAATTTTACAGATCAATGCAATAGAATTAAAAGATTAGGAACAGCGCCTGCTGTGCAAGCGCAAGGTCCCGAGTTCGATCCCCGGTACCAAAAAAAAAGATTAGGAACAGACTCATACAACTGGGTTTTCTTGGGGGGAGGGAACTGATTTTATTTTTCTAGTGCTAGGGATTGAATTCAGGACCTGTGTATACTAGGCATGTACTCTACCACCAAGTGACATCCTTAGTTCCTGTGCAACTGGTTTTCTCTTTTTCATTTTTTAAATTTTGAGACAAGGTCTCACTAAGTTGCCTGGGCTGGGCTCAAACTTGGAATCCTCCTGCGTCAGTCTCCCACAGTGCTGGGATTATAGGTATGCACCACCACAACCAGCTGACCACATTGATTTTCAACAAGGGTGCCAAGATAACTCAGTGGGGGAAAGAATCATTTCCTCAACAGATGGAAGTGGGACAAATAAATTTCCACACGCAAAAGAATGAAGTTGGATTCTTACCTTAAGTTATATAAAAAAAATTAACCCAGAATGGATCAAAGACCTAAATTTGAGAATTATACAACTATTAGAAGAAAACCCAGATGTAAATCTTTGTGACCTTAATTAGGTAATGGTTTCTTAGATACTGACACTAATAGAGCAGCAGAAACCACAAAAAAGGGAAAGATATACTAGATTTCATCAAAATTAAAATAAAAAGCGCCGGGGAAGTAACTCAGTGAGAGGTGATGGGTTCAATCCCAAGTATCCCAGCCCATACAAGTGAAACAGAAAGTTATTGTATGATCCAGCAATTCTACTTCTAAGTATATATCCAAAGAACTGAAAGCAAAGGTTCAAATGTACTTATATACCAATAACCCTAACAGCATTACTCACAGTAGCTAAAAATGTAATAACTACCCAAATGGCCATCAACAAATGAATAGGTAGAGGAAATGTGGTATATGCATACTATGGAATATTACCCAGACTTAAAAAGGGAATAAAATTCTGAAACATGCTACAACATTGCTGAAACTTGAAAACATTATGCTAAATAAGCCAGAAATTAAGGAAAAAGCATCACATGATTCCACTTATATACAATATTTAAAATATGCAAAATTCATATAAACATAGTAAAATAAAGATTACTAGGGGGAAGGAGAAGAGGGAAGTAGCGAGTTATTGTTTAATAGACACAAGAGTTTCTATTTAGAATGATACAACAGTGCTAAAAATAGTACTCATGGTTGCACAATCTTGTCAATGAACTTAATGCCAGGGAATTATATACTTAAAAATAGTTAATTTTATGTTATGTACATTTTACCACAATAAAAACTTCTACAAATGGTAGCATATCACTTACACTGATTTCAATCTAAATTTTGGCACAAAATATATTTGGGAATTACTGTTTGTATTTATTCAACTAGTTCCCTCCTGATGGATATTTAGGTTATTTCCAAATTTCTGCTCTTATACTGAAGCTAAATACTGTTGAAGTAAATAATTCAACATAACAATTTGTACATGGATGAATACATTTGAATCCTAAATTTCTAGAAGTACAAATGCTGGGTCAAAAGTCATGTACATACAATTTTATTTTTATAGGTATTTCAAATTATCTTCCAAAAGAGGTTGTGCTAATTCATAGGTAAATGCAGAGGAGCTGAATACTACTTCCCTATGTTCTTGTCTGTCAACTAGTAACAAATGTCTGGACTTTTGATATTTTTTTTTGGTACCAGGGATCGAACTCGAGTCCTTGCACTTACGGAGCAGGCAGTGGCACCACTGAGCTAAATCCCCAGCCTGACCTTTGATAATCTGACAGGTAATCTAAAAAAAAAGAGCATCTGGGTAGTTTTACTTTGCACTATATATCAGTATCCAATCTTTCGACTTGCCTGGGCAGCACTGATTGAAGAGGGATTGTCTTGGACTGCATATAAAATATATAATACAGTTAATGTATATAAGTAACCAAACCTCCTTTATTTTATTTTATTCTTTTTTTTTTTTTCTGGTATGGGAGCTCAAACTCAGGCCCTTACACTTGCGAGGCAGTTGGCGGCACCACTGAGCTAAATCCTGGGCCCTATATTTTCACTTATTAAATTACTTTACAAAATAACAAACAAAACAAGCCCAAGTTTGATAATTAAGAACTTGTATGTCTGCTTAATAACAATAAACGAATGTCTTCACAGACATACATGTAGGTAGGTTGAAATACTATTATCAGTAATCACTGTATTTTACTTGCCAAGTCACACAAGAGCATGTAATGTCTGGTAATGTGGGTTTCTATTCAACTGACTATACAGTGGGCACAGGCAGTGGAGTAAACACTGCACTGTGCTCTCACCTACACAGTGTTTCACTGTTACCTATGTAGTCTGTGCTTGAGCATTGTGAAATTGAGTCAAGAAAAATATCACTTAAAAAAAATATCACGTAGGGCCGGGGATTTAGCTCAGTGGTTTCGCTGCCTGCTGCGCAAGCGCAAGGACCTGAATTCGATCTCCGGTACAAAAAAAAAAAAAAAATCAAGTAATAATGTTAAAGTTTATGATCTTGCCAGGTGTGGTGGTGACTTCTGCATTCCAAACACTCTTGGAGGCTGAGGCAAGATTTGAGTTCAGCCCGGGCAAAGTAAGTGACTTCGTGGGAACCCATCTTAAAATTAAAAATGAAAAGGGCTGGGGATGTAGCTCAGTGAGAAGGTTCCAGGTTCACTCTCCAGTACCAGGGCAGAAAAAAAAGTTTACGACCTTTTGGGGCTGTATTACTAGCTGTCCAGAGCTAAGGGGTTGGAAACATAAGCACCAGACTAAGGTTGGGCATATTTTCATTTAATAACTGCTGGTAATTTCTTTCTGTTCTCTCTTGCCTATTTTTCTGTTGGAAGCTGACTTTCTTCTAATTGTTGTTTAGGAGCTCAACTGTGAAGGAAAACTGATCTGCATCTATAATATATGTTGCAAATATTTTCCCAAGGCTGTTACTTGCTTCCTCCAGTTTTGGCCATGTAGAGATTTTCAATTTTTATGTAGTTGAATTTATCAATCTCTTTTTGTATGGGCTCTGGATTTTATTTTCAAGAATATAAAAATTTCTTTCCCTTGGTTTCTTTTGCTATCTTTATTGCTTCATTTAATATTCATTTAAATCTTTAATTTAATCTGGGAATTTATTGTAAAATTAAGATGTGATATGAATATAATTTTATTTTTCCAAATAGTTATCCAGTTTCCAAATATCACTTAAAAATCCACCTTTTCCTATATTTATTTGGTGTGGTACCTCCATCATATTCTATATTATATTTGAGTCCACTGCTAAACTTTACTTTGTTCAAATAATCTTTTTTCTCATATACCATATAAATAATTTAAAGTGCAGACGGTTATGTTTTAGTAAGGATGGACCTTCTTCACTACACTTTATAAAAACATTAAAGATTAATTTAGAGATAGGTGAGATATTGCATACATGTACTATCTTAGCACTAACCCTCAGGGAGGGTTAGGAAGAAGGACTGCAAGTTTAAGCCTAGCCTGGGTGATTTAATGAGATCCTGTCTGAAAATAAAGGTCTGACGATGTAGTGCAATGTGAAGGCCCTGGATTCAATCCCCAGTACAACTAAAACAAAAAAGCATTAATATACCTAAGGCAGCCCTTATAACCTGTAAACATCTCCTTAAAGGCCCAACCTCTCAATACTGTTGCATTATGATGTTTTGACTTATAAATTTTGTTTTGTCGTTTTTTTCTGGTTTTTTTTTTTTGGTATCGGGGATTGAACTCAGGACCTTGTGCTTGCAAGGCAGGCATGGTGCCACTGAGGTAAATCCCCGGCCCTGTTTTGTCTTTTTGAGACAAGGTCTCAAGATAACAGTCCAGGCTGTCCTTGCACTCACTGTTTAGCCCAGGTTGGCTTCAAACTCACAATCCTACTGCCAGTCTCCTGAGTGCTGGGATTATGGGCATGTGCCAGTATGCCCAGCTTGACCTACACATTTTTCACAGGACACACATATTGAAACCACAGCAACACTAAGAGGCAAATGAACCAGTTGCTGCCAACTAGGGCAAAGAGCAGACCAGCTGAAAAAGCCTGTGAGGAAAAGGTAGGAAGTGAGATGATTTGATAAATAAGTGTTTGGTTTTTTTTGGAGACAAGGTCTTGCTATGTAGTCCAGGCTAGCATTGAACTTGCAGTGATCCTCCTCCCTCAGCCTGCTGAATGCTGGGATCACAGGAATGCACTACCATGCCCAGTCTTTTTTTCTTTTTTGAAAAAGGGATTTTTTTCCCCAAAATCTCTGGGGATTGAACCCAGGGCCAATCAATGAGCTACATCCTCAGCCCTGAAAAGCATATATATCTGTAAATTACTACAGCTAAACTATTATGTTTGACATTAATACCTTGGACTGAAATATGCCTTCTTCCAAATAACAAATGGACTCTACAAGCAAGTATCTAAAGACCAATTCAAGTAGTATTTCAAGTGCTCAAAGGATCCCCCAGAGAGGAGGCAACTGTTCAATTTCCTTGTGCAATAACCATTTTTGGGGTAAACATGTCAGATGCTTACAAAAATATGTCCTTACAAACTATTGTCACAGTCTACTAGCAGGTGATCAGAGAATGAGAACAGGTGAATTTATGGGTGAGGTCCTATTACTTCTCTGTTTCACTCATAAGAAGTTCTTGTGGTCACACAGCTAAATGAGAGAACAGAGCCTAGGTAAGGCTGGACATCTGGAATATCCTAGAGATCTGTAGCACGACTGGCCCCATTTCTAGACTGCTCATTCACTGCATGCTCTTTAGTGATATCCAGCATGTCATCAAATGTTAATAATGTGTTAAGATGGACTGGTCAGACCCA